AGACTTATTGGAACGCACTTAGTCCGGGGTCCATTGTCTGCATGATCATTTCCAAAGTTGAACCGTAGACCTTGTACATTCCCAAACGTTTCGCCGGCATCGTCAGTGAGTATCGCCAATCTTAGCACCACAAAACAAGACAAGACTTGTCTCTCTGACGAGTTGTTAGAATGTCTCAACGATGGTTAGAGGTATAATCTCAGTTGGCCCTTCATACATAGGTTCAATCATAAGGGTGCTAAGCATGTCAATGCCAACCCATACATGCAAAACTGAGCTAAGTGGGACCACACAAAATGTTGAAGAGTTTGATTACGCCAGAAAACAATAAGAATCCTTTGATCAAAGCATAAATTGCTGAGCGATGTGGTGAAGCTCCGAACTATCGATTTCAAAGAAAGGAAGCAGATGAATGAACCTATAGATGTAAAACTTAGGGGCGTAGGAAAATTCAATGGAATGTGCTTGAAATAATAACGATAACTGTGAAATAAGGGTTCTGAGGTCAAAGAGATTTAATAGACCAACACACTTGGGCACTAGAATTTACTGAGCCGTCCTTGATCAAGCTATTATACGCGTTCTATCACATGTTCGAGGCACGATGAATGGCCAGATGAGAATAGTGGGAAAGTGGGAACCAGATGGCGTGCACAAGTAGGGAAGCCACATAGAAAAGACTCCAATGGTGGAATTCATGGGAGGTACAAGGCCCATACATTGCCTCGATTTGAAGTCGCTTCCTAAACTAAATCGCTTTGCTATTTCAATGTATAGGTAGATGTAACGACACAATCATTGAGGAACTTTTTCCTGAATATAGAAGTTAAGTGAGCTCGGTCTTACTTGCGCAGAAGTTCAACCGATTTTTCCTTGATGTAGATGCGGGTGCGAAAAGGAAATAGCGGAAATGGATGTGACACACAGGGAAGCTGAATGCTTCTTTCTAGTTGCCATAGAGCCTAACTTTGAGACCTTTTACAGGCGATACCATGGGGCAAGTCATTGATTTAGATGATAGCTTGACGCTCGGTGGCAAGGGTAGCAGATTGTGTCCAGGATGAGTCAGGTTTGGCTAGGAGTATTTCCTATTTACGATTCCTAGTAGATGATCTTGCTTTATGAGAATGATAAAACTCGGTTGTCCCGAGAATGTGATTGATTGACCATTTGCGGTGCATGAGTTATTATATGAAGTTTAAAACTTGATTGTATGTAAGCAAGATTCTCACTCCAGAAGTTTTTCGAATACTCCAGAGTACTAACGAAGAGAATTGAGTAAAAAATGATTAGAAATTGCTTAGTTATAGTATTACACAACAGCATAAGATAAATCCGTCAGCCTCAGACGATATAGCTTCCGAATTTACAATAACGGCAATCACTATTACATTAGGGTTAAAGTAGTGAATACTTTATCCGTCTTGATTACGAAGCCATTACGAAGCCATTACTTTTTCCCCTTCAAATTGAAAGAATCTTTTTTAAGAAATTATTGACGCAGTAATAGTCACAACAAAGATCAGATTTACAAGTATACGCAGAATCATAGTAAGGAATGACCAAATATTCCTTTAGGTGGAAAATGAAAGAAGGATTGTGATTATATACGCAAAAAATACATTGAGAATATAAAAATTTTAATGGAAAGCAGAACCAGATACCGTGAAATAAAGAAAGACCCAGTAATATAGATCGCTGGAACATTACATGACATGCGTAAAGAAATACATATGAAGGATAAATCGACTTGGACGACGAATTTGTTAAGGAGATGAGACACACGACTATCGATAGCCGAGAGATTTCCGAAGCTGTGAAGTGAACTGGAACTACTAAATAGTAGATATGAAGACCAAGAGGATGTGGCCTTCTGTTTGGTCGCAGTCTTTCTTTAGCTTTATAATGTCGGTTTGACCCCGCTTTCGCAGCTTAGTCGGAGTGACAGGGAGGCTTTGTAGAACGTACTCAATCTTGCGTCCCATAAGTTTCGTCGGTATCATAGTCAGCGTCGTCAGTGAAAGGTGCTATCGTCAGCACAGAGATAGAACTTATCAAAGTGACAAGTGAAGGCAATTCCCTTGACCAATTTTCTGTTCAACCGTTGTGACATCACTCGTCGCCTTTATTTTTTGTCATACCTTATAGTGCTGCATCTCTTTCTGCCAACCCCACTTCATATGGTCCATTTACCTATTCATAAAATTTTGTATTCTCAGGCTTTTTTGAAGCAGAATATCCACAGCCTCCGTGATCTTTCGTTTTCTGATCTTCTCCCCATATGAAGCCAGTCTTTAAGTTGCATTCCAGTCAACTGTGTGGCCGGTAATGGCGATGTGTTC